AAGCGGTATAAATAACACCCCCGTAGTCCATGCGCCATGGGGGCGCAAATTCCAAGAGGACACCGCACAAGTACGGACAATGTAATAGTACATTATGGAACTAGTGGATGAAGTTGAATTTCAACGGCGAGAGTGATTTTTTCACACGAGCGAGTGCAACGAGCGAGTGCGAAAAAGAAACTCGAGCCGTTGAAATTTCTTCATCCGCGAGTTGCATATACTATTTTTTCTAAGAAATTAGGAAATAAATGTTTGTTTATGGTAGGTATTTTATTTTTGAAATACATTAACTGTAATAGAACAATTTTCGGTATGTTAGCTCATAAAACTTTTTAGACTTTTCGGGTATCAGATTCGAAAATGCCGCATTGGCAGCATTCAAAATTTCTTCAGAAACTTCGTCAGTCTCACTCATGTTCATTGTTTTCATTTGTGTAAACTAGCAGTATTAAACGTCAAACACTAACGGGTCGTCCAGCCTAGGCGTCATGATTTTCGAAGCGCGCGAAGCGGACGGTGCGGTCGGTGCAGGCGATACGCGACACGTTTCGCTAGCTGCGAAACGCTCAGGCTGGACGGACGACCCGTTAAAATCGTAGACGGCCGAGTATTTTTCCACTAGAGGGTGAAATGAAATTTCATCCACTGCCAGCGATGGGAAAATGACAAACTTCAACCTTAATGAGTAGAAAAAATATTTTATTATTATATGTATTACATTTTATAATAGATTATGTTTCTGCCAAGTGGATGTTAGAAGAATAGATGTGCCGTTTGTGTCAAATGAAATTCCAACGTCTACTCTGAGCGATTTTTCAGTTGAGCACCTGTTATTGTTATTAGTATAGTACTGCACTGCATATATAAAAATCACCAACAAACTGATGACATCATCTCAAAGAAATGTTATACCAAATTTTGTTGACTCTGGCATAAGTTAAAATAGTATAACTATATTTATTTTTAAAATGTCGCCACAGTTTACCAACTTTTCCCCCATACAGTAATTTATGTATTTATTGTTCTAATATTGCTGTGAAATTTCACTCCATTGGTAAATGTTAGTATATGTTAATGAACTGTTTTTTTATACTTATTACTAGTACAGCAGCTTCATCTAAAAACGTAACACAAACACTGAGTTATCTCCAAAACCTTAGATTTTTCGATTCTAATCGCACCAATGCAATGACAATGTTTCTCCCACACAACAATCTACAGCTTAGTAACAATTAATTAATATTTTTTTTTACCCAAACAACCCACGTTGTAACTATAACGTAACAGTTTTGACCAACCGGGGGGTATAAAAAAATCTGACAATTAAAATGGTGAATTTATAATAAAAAAACGCCCAGTCAAATTTTGTATGTATAGTATGAATCACCGTAAATAACAATAAACGTAGGCAACAAAAGCCAATTTTTTCCGAACCCACAATTTTCATTACATTAGAAACAAATGAAATCTATTTTTAAGTAACCAGATTCACACGATTTTTTTTCACCGATGGTTAGCTTTTCACCACCACTTTACCAGGCATTAGGTTTTCTCCAATTCGGGGGGTTTCCAATAAATGCTACCGGTACAAGAGTCTTCCATTTCTTGTCGATCCGCGAGTGAAAGTGCTTAAAGCGCGTATTACGATTTTTTAGTTTCCTGAACTGTAAGTAGGTTTATTATATCATCACAAAAGAGGAAACGTAAAAAATCAAGGTGGCTGGGGGTCGCAGGTGATACAGCGTGGATGCAAAATAGCAATTAAAAAACAAAACCTCATTCAAATTATTGCTTTTTAATGACGGCATTCATTGATTGAGATTCAGTTGTCGCACTGCACGTACATAAAGGGGACTGTTTCACACTTTCCCCCTCCCTTAGTAATTAACCTTACGGGATGCAATTGTTTTTGCCGACAGTTGACCACAAGACTTTGAAATGTTGACAGTTTCATAGTGTGCTGTGATAAGAAAATCATTTCTTCAGGTAGGGTTGGCTTTCGACGATAAATAATAAAAAAAAGTTTTTCAAAATTTTTCAACAAGATTTCTTCTGCTAAATTCAAAACAATAGTTGCCTAATTTCGAGTCAGCGGTTTTCCATTGACAATGAAACACTAAACTGACCTAAATATTTTCCTTCCGTGATTTTCTTAAATGTTCTCGTTTGGCGCGCTGCATTACGTCAGTGCATGTTATTTGTTATTTAATCGGTATCGAGGACACGATACCGATGTGATTACTGCGTCCTTGAAATTTTGGTTTTGCACTCTGTATATTATACAACAGTCCGGTTCTAGTCTGACGGGAAATGCTTTCTCCTGTGTTTTTTAGTAAATTGGATGGTGATTATGCACTTATGTGAGTTCCAATATGCATTAATTTTGGTTGCTTAACTGCACAAACACAACGTTTTTAGGTAAAAGAGTCAGTTTTTTTGGGATTGCACATTAAGTAAGGAATTAAAATATTTAGTTCACTGGATTTTCGTGAAAGTCCATTCTTTTCAGTTTTTTTTTAATCATGTATGAATGTCGATAATTGTGCATGTATAATTTATGTGTTTCATAATGTCTTGATGAAGTGCAAAAATATTGCCAACGGCTAAAAAATGACGAAAGAGCTTTTTTTAATCAAAGAAATTTTGTCTCCAAAATTGTACACAAATGTTACCTTTCTTTAGTAAACTGATGTGAAGTGGTTAATTTAAGTTTATGTTTAATGTTATTTTTGCTCCACGTTTTGCAAATTGTAAAGTATGAAAGTGTGGGTCTCCCGCATTTTTAGCTATCGTCTGTGGTGTCTACATGCCATTTTATTACACAAAACCTATTGAATTTATCACCGTGAAATTTTAGATATACGTTAAAATCATCGCGTACTTGATTCGTGTGTTCATCCCACCAAAAATTTGATGACTCTTTCTCGAAATTTTAGTTAGTCATTTTTGTTTAAAATACATAATAAAATTTTACAATAACAATTTGGTTTAAAACCTAACTTATAGACTTTCTCAAATTTTAGTTATGACACGACCACTAACTTAATTAAAATTTATTTATTCATCTCGTCAAGATAATCATAATTGATTACGTCAGTGTGGTTTGTCTTTTGGTAACATATTTATTTTTACTACCACCACACTACTTTTGTAACTGGTGGTGGTACATAGTGGGTACGTACGTACCAAAAGTAATATTTTTGTTACCACTAAAAAATACTAAAAAATGATCATGTGACCACAAAATTTGAATAAGAAACTCCTACTTCAAATATATAACGTAACATTCTCATTTACCTGTTGTTTAAATTTTACAGTTTATTTAAGAAACTGGCGGAGTTGTTTTATCGAATTAAATTTTATAAAATAATATACTGCTCTATTTGTGGTTTATGAATCCGCCTTGATTTTTATCGCAATTACTTTACAAAATTGTGTGTGCAATATTTTATGGTTTAAATGGAAATTTTAATCCAAAACTAGAAAATTATGAAACTGATTTTTCTTTCTAGAATTTTTACTGCATTATTGTTAGTTAGAACTAGTAGATACTCAAGGCTATTACTGCAAAAAACTAATTTTTGCTTTGTTTTACAGTTTTAATCGTATTATGATCATACTATGATTCTATGGAGTGAACAAACTCGTCAAAATATTATTTTAACCATGAAACTTCAACTTGGAGACAACGAGTATTTTACTTTTGTACTATGACTTATTTTGCACACATTTAAGACCTTGTATTTTTTTTGTCATTAGGATGTGTATACTGCACAGTGAGCTACTTGTTTTTAACTGGTTCCCCGCAAATTGATCCATAATTTATTTTTACACGCAATTTTCCAGTAACTAATAAGTAATAAATAATTTCACACGTCATCATAACTATAAACTTTTCATTTCATTTCTGTGGCTAACACAAGTTGTGCAACAACTAATCGTCATATACAACTGTAATTTAAGAAAACCTAAAAGTTTAAAAGTGTCTCATTTTAAATCTTGAGGTTTGTATCTCAAAATCGAAAATTTATTTCATGAACAGCTTTCCTCATTTAATATTCGGTGTTAAAATAAAACTTTTATGAAGGACTAAGTTAAAAGTAATTCGTTGAAGTCACACCAGGTGATTTTAAAACGATTGTCTCTACTTTTCTTAGTTTTACACATTTTTAGTTTTCTTTTTTTATAATCACCGCTATTTTGGTACATATTCTTGAGATATAATATCAATATTTTATTTATCTCTAGAGAACTGAGTAAAATGGGAACAATAAGTGACAAAAATATTCATCTTTCATCGTCATGTATGATTTTGATAACTTTTTTGGGAAGAATTGTCTTGTAGAACGTTAGTTACAGTTTTTTAAATCGAAAATTTTGACATTTTTTCCAAAAAAGTTGTACCTACACTCTCGCAGTGTAGAGGCTTCAGTTTTTCACTTAATTAGGTAATGTCTACGTAAAAATACACTTCTTTGTCATATGGCACTTCATATTTGGTCTTTGACGTCACCCATTTTGGCCAATCGGAAATACCACATGAAAAACACACAAAGGAAAATCAATTACACCATTCATTTACGGATTTATTACACTTTGCAAACGCAAATTGTATGCATTTTATTGAACTTGACTTCTAAGGCCATGTCTACAATAATAATAAATTAGATTAATTTGATTGCGATTAATTGTGTGTTGCAAACCACACTGAACTTTTTACGTTTCGTCTCGAGCATCCAAATACCGTTCGTCCGTCAAACTTCCTCTTTGCGTTTCGAATCACGTCTTCCTCAATGTATGTCATTCCATTTACGTGTACTAAAACCTCATTCGTGACGAAAATCGATCTATAATTATGTAGTCCACCATAACCGAACAGAAAAAATTAATATTCATTGATCACCTGGCCCTACCATATATAAATTGGGGATTTTTTCGACGGTTGGTAGTAGTGTGTGAAATTCCCCCATTGTGGAAAAATTAAAATAGTTGTATTGCAGCTACACGAAATGGAGGGAGAATCTCAAATTTGCAAGTTCTACGATGGCCAGAATGTCTTCATTACTGGTGGAACTGGTTTCATGGGAAAAGTTCTGGTTGAGAAGCTGCTGCGGAGCACAGATGTCGCTACTGTGTTCATACTGATCAGAGAGAAGAAAGGGAAGAATGTGCACACCAGGCTCGATGATATTTTCGACAGTGTTGTAAGTTTTTTGACACTTTTGATAAGTTCTTTTGCTTTATAGTTAACATTGTTTTTCTTTAAGTTTTTTGACAGGCTGAAGACAGAGCGTCCAAAGTTCAGGCACCGTGTGGTGGCCATTCCAGGCGACTGCACCATCACGGGACTCGGTCTGACGATCACCGATCGACAAAAACTCTTATCAGATGTCAATATTGTCTTTCATGCAGCCGCATCGGTACGTTTTGACGAGAATCTCAAATACGCGTACAATATAAATGTCAGTGGAACGGCGGATGTCGTAGAACTGTGCAGACAAATGAAGAATCTGAAGGTAAGGAACTGTCAAGAATTTTTTATTCCTACATTTAGTTTTCGTTTTAGTCAGTAGTGCACGTGTCGACGGCCTATTCAAACTGTCATCTGGATTCTATTGATGAGAAGTTTTATGAGTACTCCGTAGAATATACTAATGTGGGGGCATTGTTAGAAAAAATGTCGAAAATTGAGGCGGAAAAAATGACACCAAGGTAAAAAAATTGTCAATGGAAAATAACAACTCCAATGATAATAGTTAAAATATCTAGTTGTTCCAAACATTCCGGCTATAAAAATATTGACTATTTGCATATTATGATTAAGTATGTTTTTTTTTTTGTATGAGCTCGTGCGTCCTATGAAAATTAATTCTAGATAAATTACGTAGTTTGAATATTTTTTTCAGTTTTCACAAGAAAGTGTTAACAGTGTGACAAGAACTACTGTTTTTTAGTTATTGTCTAAATATAAAGAAGAAGTTAGCAACGATATGCAAAGTTTTTTACGAAACTTTTGTGTATACATTTTGTTTTGGTTTTTGCACAGAATAATAAATTTTGACCACCAAAACCTATAACATGCGATAAAGTGATAAAACAAGCACATTAAAATTTAACCTACAGGTTCATGTACCTCAAGAATAAGCCATAGCTTTACAAGACATATATAAAGTTAAACATGGGATGTGTCATTTTGGAGTGTATTCTTTCTCAAAAGTCACTTCCCCCCTCTTTTAATTTTCTAGTTTTTGTTTGTTTTTCTGTATGTGTCTACTAATTCTCGAAAATGTTTTTAACAAAGACCTTTCCAAGATTTAATTTAACACAGAGTGTCTAGGATTCTTCTGTAGAAAGATCATCCTCACTCATGCAGGTGGTCAATATTAGTAATCCCAGCCATTACTCGACATAAGAGTAGGATAAAATTTCAAGCAACTTTGTAGATCGAGACAAAAACAATAATTCGGAAACAATAGATCAGGTAATCAAAACAAATCAAGAAGAAGTATGTAGATGCTTTTCCATGGATGACTGACCTATCAAAGGCTTTCTATAAGCTGGGAATGACAAAGATGACAGAACTTGGTAGCATGGATGCGAGAGTTGTTAGGGTAGTAGTGGTAGAATGTCCAGAATATTTTTGGAATAGAAGAATGAAAATTTTTGAGAACGAATTCTTTGAAAGGTTAAACATACGAATAAATACAAAAAAAAACTGCAACCCTAGCAAGCATACATTTCAGTCTTCGGATCAAACGGACCACAATCTATGTAGTAAAATTTGCCCCACAGAAATCAAGACCGCTCCAAGAGCTGTCCCCTTCATTTTATATCTTCAAAGACTTGTAGTGAAGATAACGAACACTTACTACGACGATGCACCCAAAAAACCACGTTGATATAACCTTGGCATTGCAGTTGCGGCAAAATAGTGGTAGAGCTAGAATAAAGGCTTGGTGCTAGAAAGAATGAGCACGTAGATGGTACAAGTGACCTCAAACTGCCGTTAAAAACAAAAGCCGTGGTTTTAGTTGGCTGATGAAAGCTACTGAGCATGAAAGTGAAAATGGATGGCGTAAGCATTGAAACAAAGAAAAGTGAAATACTTAGGCGTACACCTAAATAGAAACGTGAGGATGGATGAACATAGAGAATATCAACATCAAAACTGACAGAATCTTGAATGACCCGAGGAAAATTGCTTACCGTGTGGAACTAGACAATGTCCATAGAGGTAGTTCTGGTTGTTGTCGGAACCCCACTTATCAGGAAATAGAGGAAAAGTACTCATAAATAGTTATGAAAAAACGTATCATTTTGATGTTCACTAAATGTTGCAAAGAAAGAGAAACAACAGAAATTTCGTAAGAGGGAGACATCATAGAGAATTCATAGTACGGTGTAGGGAAAGGGATAAGCGACAAGGATAGAACATTAAGAACTGAAAGATTCCTTAAGGAATTTGAAATAAATTTAGGGGCAAAGAGAAGTAACGAACGTATCTTAAAAAAATGGCAGTATTTGAAAAGTAATCAGATATTGTTAATAAGTGGCAAAAGAGAGAAATTTAACAATTGAAATGGGGTGCGTGGGCGGGGTTAATATTTTTTTGATACTTTTTTGCAAGAAAATATGGATTTTGCAATTAAAACAAAAAGGTAAAATGTAAGCCCGCCCACCCGCCCTATCTGATGATTCTTTTTTTATTAGCCGTGAACCAAGGGGGCAGAGCTTAACTGCAAAATACTTATTTCTTTGCAAGAAATTAAAAACATATGTTTGCGTATCGTGTTGTTCAAAGAAAATTACGTATATTAAGAAAAAAAGTCAAAATATTAACTACGCCCACCCACCCCAGCTCAACTGTAATGAATTTTTTATTCTTAGAAACTTGAAACACGTATAAAATTAAAATTTCAAAATTCATATTTCCTTACTAAATTTTTGTAAGGAAATATGGATTTTGCAATTAGACTCCGCCTCTAGGTCTGCTAACGAATGCAAACTTCATTACTATTTAAATCAGGGCAGGTGTGGATGGGGCTTTATTTTTTGGCTTTAATTGTTTCTTAATATGTACATATAATATTTTTTGAATAACACGATACACAAAAACATGTCTTACTTGGTAATTTCTCTAGAGAAATAATAAGGATTTTGCAATTAAATTTCGCTCCTTTAGCTCTCGACGATTAAAAAAAAATCATCACAATTGAGATAGGGCGGAGGGGTGGGGCTTATATTTTGCCTTGTTTCTTAATATACGTAGTCGTCTTTTCAGAACAAAAAACTTAAAACATGTGTAAAATGGTAAATTCTTGTAGACAAATATGGATCTTGCAATTAAGCTCCGCCCCTCGATCTGACAACGAATGAAAAATTCATCACAATTAAGAATTGAGAGCGGGGCGGGTATGGATGGGGTCTAATTTTTGGCTTTATTTTTTTCTTTATATACATAATATTCTTTAACAACACGATACTCAAAAACATGTTTTTAATTTCTCGATAAAACAAAATCAAATAAAGATTTTGCAGTTAAGCTCCGCCCTCTTGGGTCACGACGAATAAAAAAAATCATCAGAACTGAGATAGGGCGGGTGGGCGGGGCTATATTTTGCCTTTTTTCTTAATATACATAGCCATTTTTTCACAACAAGAAATTTAAAACATGGTTAAATTGGTACATTTTTACAAGAAAATATGAATTTTGCAATTAAACCTAATTGCAAAATCGAAATTTCCTTCGACAAATTTTCCATTTTAAACATGTTTTAAGTTTCTTGTTGTGAAAAGAAGTCTACACATATTAAAACAAAAAGGCAAAATGTAAGCCCGCCCACCCGCCCTGTCTCATTTGTGATGACATTTTTTATTTGTCGTGAACCAAGGGGACAGAGCTTAACTGCAAAATTCTTATTTCTTTACAAGAAACTAAAAACATATTTTTGAGTATCGTGTTGTTCAAAGAATTTTTTCTTCTTAATATACGTAGTGTATATTAAGAAGAAAAAAGGCAAAATATAAACACCGCCCACCCACCCCATCTCAATTGTAATGATTTTTTTTTATTCTTAGAATCTTGAAACACGTTTAAAATTATAAATTTTTGGAAGGAAATATGGATTTTGCAATTTGACTCCGTCTCTAGGGTGGGGCTTTATTTTTGGCTTTAATTTTTTCTTAATATGTATAGTATTCTTTGAATAACACGATACTCAAAAACATAAAATAAAATCGACAAAAGATGTCTAAAAATTACATCCAGTAAAAATTTCATCTCTGAATATTTATTGAAACATAAGTCAACATGGGATACAAAATTTAATTTTTCTTAATGTACATAGTTTTCTTTGAACATTACGATACTCAAAAACATGTCTTACATGGTAATTTCTTGTAGAGAAATAATAAAGATTTTGCAATTAAATTCCGCCCCTTTAGCTCGGGACAATTAAAAAAATCATCACAATTGAGATAGGGCGGGTGGGCGGGGCTTATATTTTGCCTTTTTTCTTAAAACACATAGTGTTTTCAAGATTTTTGAATCTATGGGTTATTAGAGAAGAAAAGGATAACAAACGGAAGATGGGGTAAAAAACTGCAGCAGAGATATCAGTTTATGGAACTATTGCTGGATTAATTTCGCAGAATAATACTGAAGATCTACTAAAATTTTCTTCATTTAGATGTTTTTTCAAGAAGGAATATTTTGTTATAGTATACTCCTGTTATTATTTAACAAGCTTACAGTATCTTCGGCTATAATTATTAATTACACAGAATTATACAGAACGAGTTTACAACACGAGTAAAAAGATGATACCGTTCTATAAATTCAGGTCTTTTGGGTTTACAGAAATGCACGGGATTGATTTCAAAAATTGATGAAAATTTCAAAATATTCGATATTTTTGTGTATGAGCGTTTAATGATAAGTAGTATGATAAATTGTTGAAACTTTGAGTTATGGTCATAATTCTAATCAGAACTCGTAACTTAAGTTGAATTTCATAATTACAGGAATATTAATTAGAACTATTACGATTAATTTGAAATGAACGATGTTCAAAACGAATAACTAAACGGTCGTTGGTAAAATAAGTAACTGTTAACAATGGAGTTTTATACAAGGCGATCAAAAAATAACGGAGAAGCTCCATGGTATGTTAGAGTCGAAGGGTCCGAAGAAATCGAAAAAAATTGTTAAAAAATCTCTAAACCAAATTTTTCAAAATATTAAACTTCACAGTTAAAGAATTAACATCATAAATCTGATGTTCTAATGTGAATTTATAGTTTTGGAAATTTCATTGTACCCTATAAAATTTTATTGGCGATAACGAGACGGACAGTAGTATAATAGCGAGAGATATTTACAACTTAAAGTTGTCGCGCGCCGGTAATCCCCAGATGGTAGAAAGCAAAATAATCCAGGTCCGGATAGGGCTCATCGTTACTCACGAACGAAAATGACCATTATTTTATGAGTACAACTATCTGCTAAATGTTCTCCGACAAATTCGGGTGACCTGGTGTGAGCCATAAATACATCTTACCATTGCATTGTACTACTGTCCGTCTCGTTATTTTCAATAAAATTTTATAGGGTAGAATGAAATTTCCAAAACTATAATTGACTGTCGAAAATTCCAATAAACATTGTCAAAAATGACAATTGTCAACAGCAAAAGAGACGTCCATCGTATTCTAGCAATTTATATGCAGTTCGTTCAAACAAATCAGAATTACGAAGTTAATTCTTCAACGTTGAAGTTTAAGAGGTTTGCTGCAGGGTTTTCTCTAACCATTTTTTCGAGTTCTTCAGACCCTTTTTAACAACGTTCCATAGAGTTTAATCAGTTTATCCGTCATTTTTTTGTTCACCCTGTATGCTTCATTGATAATAATTAGTATTGTAATTTATTTTCCTAATTCTGGAAGACTGTTTAAATTCGATCAAAGGATGTCACTTAAGCTGAATTTTTTAGTATTATACATTATTTTTACTTCCTGAGAGTAAGCTAAGGAAGTAGTGTAATCGAGTCCATGCACCGAACTACCGTTTCCGTCTGTCTGTCTGTCCACCGTCTGTGTCGATTTTTGTTGACAGATAATTTTCGAAATTACCGGACTGATTTTTGTCAAATTTTACACGTATATTATGAATATCATATTATAGATAGTAAAAAGCTAACCAATATCTAATCATCCCCACCAACAAAGTAATGACGTCACCTCAAAATTGTACCTAGTAAAGCTGTAATGTATACAAAAATTTGGTTCCTATGTTAAAAATTAAATATAAAATTTTATTGCATCAAGCAAAATTTTTCGTAATTAGAGTTTTTACAAATATATTGGGCGAGCAACGTAATTTGTAGTCGAGTCATCCTGGGAATGGATTTAGTATGTCGCTGACTAAATCACACTTTTGCCTTTCTTTTTTAAATACATAGTCATCATTTGACAACACGAAACTTAAAACATGGTTAAAGTGGTACATTTTTACAAGGAAATATGGCAATTATGGTGCAAAACCTAATTGCAAAATCGAAATCTCCTTCTACAAATTTTCCATTTTAAAGATGTTTTAAGTTTCTTGTTGTAAAAAGAAGTCTACACATATTAAAACAAAAAGGCAAAATGTAAACCCGCCCACCCGCCCTATTTCAATTGTGATGATTTGTTTTATTCGCCGAGAACCAAGGGGGCGGCGCGTTACTGCAAAATACTAATTTCTTTAAAAGAAATTAAAAATATGTTTTTGAGTATCGTGTTGTTCAAAGAATACTACGTATAGTAAGAAAAAAAAAATATATATATATATATATATAAAGCCCACCCACCATCCCCATCTCAATTGTTATATTTTTTTATTCTTGGAAATTTAAAACACATTTAAAATGGCAAATTGTTGAAAAGAAATATGAATTTTGCAATTAGGCTCCGCCCTTAGCTCTACCAATGAATGAAAACTTCATTACTATTTAGAACAGGGCCGGTATGGGTGGGGCTTATTTTTTGGCTTTGATTTTTTCTCAATATACGTAACATTTTTTGAATAACACGATACTCAAAAACATGTCGTATATGGTAATTTCTTGTAGAGAAATAATAAGGACTTTTTGCAATTAAACTCCGCTCCTTTGGCTCTCGACGAATAAAAAAATCGTCACAATTAAATTTTTTTCTTAATTTGTGTAGACTTATTTCAACAACAAAAAACTTATAACATGTCTAAAATGGTAAATTTTTGTAGTAATCAACGTAAATCCTCCACTTTTCTTCTACAACCCTTTTAAAAACAGCAAAAGTTGAACATCAAAGCTACTATCAACGGCATCTTGGCAACGGAGTTTATAAATTTAATGTCAAAAAGTGACCAACGTAAAATCAAAATGGCTGACATTTTTTAATACGGTTTCTAATACAATAAGTGTCAAGTTACAAAGAAAATCAAGATTAATTAATTTTATTAAATAAATTAAATTAAATTGCATTAAATGTTGGAAATGTGGCCTATTTTGTTGTAAGCATAAATGAGCTCTTGGTTTATTTCAGCAATCACATACGTCAACATCTCTGTATTATATCAACCTTAATTCCTACAATTTGTGACAGGTGTTCGATAAATAGTGTTCTTTAATGACGGTTACAAAAAAAATCTGCAGAAATATGATCACGAGATCTCAAGATCTCGAGGACCAGATATTCTCTGCATTTCGACGAATGAACCAGTTGCCAAAAAATCCCGTAGTTTTGTTATTGTGGCCGATTGCGCTGTAGCCCCATCTTGTTGAAAATAACTTATTTCCATTTAATCGTCGTGAAGTTAGGGTATAAAATCTGTCAGCATTTTTTACTAATATCTAACAGCGGTTAGGTTACCTTAAAGACGATTGCATTGAATAAGCAAGTCAATCATATGATTATTATTGCTATGATTACCTTCAAAGAACCCTGCTATGCGTCGTTAACATTTGCAATATTTTCTGGAGTTCTCTTATCTGAGAACTTCGTCACACATTGTTCAAAATGAGTTGCAAAAATGGGTATATACATATAAACCATGAAAGTAAGCCTAATCAAAATTTTAACTTTTGGAATTTTTATCAAACCTGGGAGTTTCAATAATGTTCTGCAATTGCAGAAAAAATATTGTTTGTATTTCATGCACGAATTCTAGTTTATTGCATATAAAAACACGATTTCGAGCATTTTGTCAAAAATACTGTTACTTACAAATTTCAAGTAGAGTAATTACAACAATTAAATATAATCATTGTCGTCTTTTGAAAAAATGCTTTGGAAAATTTGTTGGTGACTCAGAAATAATATTTTACAACTGCAGTACATGTATTTCATAAAAACATATTTTTTAATGAAAACATCCTTTAAAGACCCTTATACTTTTTCAGGATAATAGGAAACTGGCCCAACACATACACATTCACCAAAGCTTTGGCGGAATCTCTTATCAAGAACACCGCCGAGGGTTTACCCATAGGAATTTTCAGACCCTCTATAGGTACTATATACAGATTTCTGTAATCACGATTACAATATTCTATTTCAGTTATTTCCACATACAAGGAACCCGTCGAAAGTTGGACAGATACACTCTATGGTCCCTCAGCAGCAGTCGCAGGAGCAGGTGCTGGTTTGGTTCGAGTATTCCCCTGCAATGAAGACGTAGTTGCAGACCTAGTACCTGTTGATACTTGTGTTGCTGGCATGATTGCAGTGGCATGGGACATTGCCAATAAAACAAATGACAAGTAAATCTAACTCTCTGCACTCTTTTCCTTTGTAATTATTATATTTTTTTCGAAACAGGAATGCTGATACCCCAATATATAATTACGTATCGTCGGTTGAAAATGCACTAACTTGGGGAGAATATAACACCTTGAATAAACTCCATGGTTGCAATTATCCTCTGCAGAAAGCTGCGTGGACTATAGTCATTGACAGTATAAGCAACATACGACTGTATCTGTTTTTGAGAATACTGCTACACGTAATACCGGCGTTCTTAACAGATACTGCTTGTGTAATCATCGGACAAAAACCGCGTCTAGTATCTATGTACACGAAAATCCACAAGTTTTCAGATGTTTTGGCTTTCTTCTGTTTGCGGGAATGGAAATTCACAAACGATAACATAACAACGCTGTGGGAAAAAATGGGAAGGATCGATCAGAAACTTTTTCCGTTGAGTATAAAGACAGTGCCATGGACAAACTACTATAAGACGTATTTCAAGGGGATGAGGGTGTATTTGCTGAAAGATCCCTTAAGTACGCTAAAGGAAGCACGAGCCCGGAAGAGAAAGTAGGTTGCATAGTTTTGTTTGTGTTATTACTAATGTATTTGTTGCAGTTTTGACATATTGCGAGGATTTCTCATATGTCTAGGAATTTTCCTTCTTGTGACGGTCATTTGGATAGTGATTTTGAACGTTATTGCTTTTGTTAGTCCGAGTTTAATGGGTACACAGAAAAACTTTTCTGGTAATAACACCGAAGATGTTTTAACCAAGTTTTTATATACTTAGTGAGTGAATAAAATGTTATAGTTTTCGTTTTGTTTTGTTTGTATAGGTCAGTGAATTTTGCATATTTCAAATCTTACTTGTGCGGTTTTTATCGAAATTAAAAAGATACATATTTTTTGAAAAGCAAATGTAGAATATGAAAAAAAATCTCAAATTACAAGTTTGACGTGATTATGTTGTACTTTCGTTTTATATTAATACATATTAAATTTGTTGTTTTAATAAAATCGATATACATGAAAATTTAAATTCTAGGTAAAAAATTTTCCTGGTCGTTCGGATTTTAAAAATTAGTCTAAAGTTACTTCCCTTCCCTTCTGTTGTCATACCTTCTATAAATAAGTTAAAAAAAACGGAAGTGAAATCTACCTCTTAATAAAGTTTTTAAAAGAATAAGAAGCTCTAATGATTTTGCTACGTTCGTAGCGGATTGTCATACAACTTAATCACCTTCAAGAGCTTATGAATTGTGGTAGTAAAATGTGATATGGTCTTAAGAATTGCCTAATGTCCTATCGCTTTTAATGGACTGGATGTCCTTCTCATCCAAAAATACTTATACTGTGCACTGCAACAACCAGCAATTTCTTGAAATTTTTGGCCCTTCTATTTTGCCTGTCAATTTAATAGAAGGCAACTCTTAAATTACTACTCTATTACTTAATTAGTATTAACCTGTGTCGTTTTGTCAAAGAGTGCGTGAATTTCCGAAGGGCCAAAACCAACAGGGAGGATTCCGACACTTTGGCAAAATGAACTACGCACCGAAGTGGATTAAAAATTCTGGATTCTATTAACATTGAATGCAGTATTTGTGGAAAAAATATTTGAATATTGCAAGTCAAACGAAGAAAAAAAAATATCCTCAACAATTGGTTCCGCAATTAAATTCAAATGAGAGTAAAAGTTGTCCTAAAGAAAAGAGATTATATAACAATATAACATTTTTATTAAGTTAAACATTCCCATATTAAACTTATAAATTGGATTTGCCTATAATTCAAACATACAGTTCTACTGCCCATAGCTTCCCAGTTCTTGCAGACTGAATTAAAAAAATATGTTTGAGTCAGAACAAGAATAAAAAGACGTTCGTGACTGGGTTTAAGTCTTTTAGTTGATGCAAGAACGAATGTCCTTTTATCAACTAAACTCCTCAAAATTATCGCACCACTTCGCGTTATTTTGATTTTGACCGTATTTAAAATGTGCCTTGTAGTGTTTATTGCATATGTGTTTTGTATTGTATTGAGGGAATTCTCTGGGTCCGCGATGTAATTAATCTTGATGAACTCATTTTGATTAAATCATTAATTTGAAGTAATGCATAATTTAACATTATGTAAATTCGTTGTTGTTTGAAATTTGTTTGTGTTGCAGTTTCAGTAATTCATTTAATCATCATCAAAAGTTCGGGAGGTCGATTATGTAGTACCTTTTGGACCGCGAGGTTGAGTATGTATATAAGCTTGTGACTTTCGCAACACAATGTAACGCTCAAAACTGAGGAGAGCTCGATCTCCTTGACCAGAGCCATCGATCCCGAAACCGTGATCTGTATTTTGGACTTCCGATACAGTCTTTGGTTTTGTTCATATTTAAATTTGCTGCCTCAGTATTGAATATTACCATCCAGTTACTTTAACGATAATTTCTACTTTTTCCTTTGTTTGTTTCAATTTATGACATTCTTGAAGGAATGTCATGTCGCAACATGATTTTCTTTGATTTCAAATTAAGGTTACTCCTGGATTATTATTGGTTTGTTTTTGTTATGTATAACAACAACTGAGAAATAATTTCTACGCGTGATTCTGCATTGTAAGGATGGGAAATTAGTTGTACCTACATCTTTGCCTATTTGATAAAATATGCAGTTGTTGTCAATTTTTTGTTTGTTTGTTAAAGAAAGAGCTATTAGTAATAATTGTTGCTCCAAAGTGTAGTTCTCTTCATTTCTTGTAAAAACGATTTCCTTTCCTTGATAAAAACTACTCTACTCAAGTCAAAATTAGACATTCGCTAATTTTCCAATACGAGGATTAATGATGCGTAATTTCAGACTTTCAAACTAACCCTTAACAACCACCCCCAAAACAGCCTTGCAGACTGGATGTTAAAAATATTCCGATCAAAGCAAAATTCGTTCGGAGAAAGCCTTAAAAACTGCGTTTAAAAGGACCTTGCAGCCTAGAGCTTTAGAATATAAGTATTTATCAAGTGAAAACAATAAAAAGAGCAAAATTTCTTTTTTTCCTAGGCAACCCCTAAAACTACCTCTAAACAGTCTTACAGACTGGGCCTAAAAAATATTCCTATCAAGTCGAAACTTAATAATTGCCTAATTATTATCGATGGCTGAAGTATTTATATACAATTTCTTTTTTTTTTTAAGCAAACCTTAAAAACTACCCTCTAAAAAACCTTGCAGACGAAAATATTATTACCAAATCAAAAGTCAGTGTTTGCCTGTTTATCTATACGAGAAGTGTTAATGCAAAAAAAATCAGCCTTTTTTAAGCTGCCCTGAAGCAATCTTAAGGATTGAAGCTTAAAAATATTTCAATTAAAAAATATTACAAGTTAAATTTCAGTCACCTTGAAGCAACTCATAAAAATGATTGACAGTTCACGTTCATTTAAAATACAAGTAGTGGAAAAATTTCAGACACATATAAAGGGAGAATTTTTTTAAGTAGGTGCGCACCATGGAGGTAGAATGAAAGGAGAGAAGATAGTTTGAAAAAACGCCTGATACTGCGCTTTTGACTAGGGTCATAAATGGCTCTACCAGGTCCTCGGATAAATTTGTTGTTCCAGTGGTGCGCTCGGAAGCGTTTGCCGGGTACTGGGCATAAAACACAAAAATAATTTCATAAGATGGAATACTGTTACGAAATAAACCCATACGCCGCCCCGGTATGACGCCTATGGGCCGTCGAGAGCTTTCTAGTAAGTGCGGCGCCCAGAAAAACGTCGAAGCGGCGTTCTCGATCCATCTAGAGGAACGTATAAGTTTAAATAGAGGCCACCGTTGGGAACGGGATTATTCAGTCAATCCAGTCCATGAGAGTACAGTCAAGTTGCACCGCAATTATTTTTGTATATAAACGCTGTGTAATCAGTCGTGTAAATTCAAGTTTTTAAAAAATAAATTGTTAAGTTTAACCCACGCCGATTTGAATCACCGATCAACGTAACAATATAAAAGCAGCAGCAGCAAAATTTACTTGAATTTTTGTGTTAATAGCAATATTTTTGTTTTTATATAATTATCTAAATAATAAAATGCTTTTACTACCTATGAACCCATTTTAAACCAAACGGCACCACTCCTGATTATCTGTTTTTGAGCGAACGCTTCCGATGTAGGTTGTACTACGGCAAGGGTCATAACTGGCTCTTGCGTGAAGCTGTTTTGCCGACGTTGCTTTAGCATTAGCTCAATGAAGCAGGCTACCTCCTGCCATTCTATCTCCGTACCGTATTTTTAAACCTCACTCTGCAACGTTGTTTCGGGGGTAGTTTTAAAAGGTTCATCCGAATGGGCTAAAATTTTGCATCAACTATCTTCACATTAAAAATAAGAAAATGTCGAGTTTTAACTTGATAGAAGTATTTTTTATCTCTAGTCTGCAAGTCTGTTTTTGTGGTGATTTTTAAAGTTCCTCCAAATGGGCTGAAATTTTGCACCAAAAATCCTGGTATTAAAAAATAAACAGAAATCGAATTCTGGCTTGATCGAAGTATTTTTAACCCCCACTCTGCAAATCTGTTTTAAGGATACTTTTTAAGAGTTTCTCCGAACGGATTGAAATTTTACATCAACAATCTTCGTATTAAGAAATAATCAAATGTCGAGTTTTGACTTGATTGGTGTATTTTTAACCCCCACTCTGCAAGATAAACAGTGGTTTGCAAATTAGACAGGCCCTAACCCTGGATTACCTCTTGTTTTTTCTTTCACTAGTTTTTCTAGTTTTCAACAAGCAAGAGCTAACCTTTGTTTGTAAATTAGTTTATGCCAATATGCAATCAACATTACACATGTGTTGTATAATTGCATAATATGAAAAGTATCCGAAACCGAGAAGACATACGTTCAGAGTTGCACAGCTTTTTTTGATCTAAATAATTAATGAACACACGGTATAAGAAATGTAACTATTCAATAAATTATACTTGATGTTAGTTTGTTATAGGTAACTTTAGGTGTGTAACAGAAAAAACAAGACGTAATTAGATCTTAATAAATTAGTAGTCCTATAACAAAAAATGTATGACGGCCAAAGGGTAAGTTTATATCAAGGACAATAATATAAACAAAAGGCGCTAATCTTCAACACTATGCTTTGATCAAAAACAATAATAAAATAAAAATTATTCGAATTTCTATAATTCTAGTTATTCCTTTTATTGCTTTGTTAATGGGTAGTCGAATTTCGTGACATAATATCTTTATATTATAGTATACCCATTAGCCCCCCTGGAACCCCTCACACCTCTATGCAGGTTCCGTAGAAATCCGCACGTAATCTATTTGATTTCTTTTATCTCATGTTACCCTATAAAAAGACTTAAAAGTTACACTCTTTTTAAAATTAGTAGGAGAATCACGTGTTTGCAGTGAAAAGACGATTTCTGCCGTGTTATTAGCATTTAAACAGGGATCATTTGCTTCGGACCATTCTAACGCCTCCAGCTGTGAATGTCTATTGATTTCACCAACTGACTCATTTTGTGATAATTTACTTTTTAAATTCATATCGTCTATACACTGCTTTTTTTTAACGTTGGCCATAGGGATTTGCGTGCTAAAAATTCGGGTCGCGTTAATAAATTTTCTAGCAGCGATTTTCGAGTGAAATCAGTTTCAATTCATTTTTTAGTACAGAGCAAAATAACTAATACTAGGTCAACTCCCTAACAGGAAAAAACTCGTTGGAGGTCGGTAGCATTTCTTCATACTACTCTCCATCAAAACTGAACGACGTTCTTGTAACATCGGCCCGGTTGTCAAGAAACACCCTGTCCATTTATATATGTCAACAGTCCGCCGAAAGTTTGATTCGTTACAAACTACTGGATCGATTGTTGTCAAATTTGACACGTGTGTTAGGAATATCATGTAGACGGCAAAACGCTAAGTAAAATGTAATGACGTCGCCTTAAAATTTTGCTTAGCAAACGCCATTTCAATTTTATAATAATGATATACTCGTACTACATAAATTTTTATTTTAACATATAGACGTTTTAATAAAATAATAAATTTTGCAGAATCAGCTTTTATAATTTAAGAAACTTCCCATTTTTTATTGTGCTTCAATAACTGTAAGGCCAGCTTTTTTCTTATGAAATTTACAGCGGTTTTCTGGTCATGAAATTTGACCTACTTTTTTAAATACTCATCAGTGGCGATGTTTTTTGTTGAAATCGTAAATTATTTAAACCTACTTGGCGCTGGACGAGAAAACTATCCTTCTCATCGTCTGCTACCCACGAAAGAGGATGAGAAAGACAGATCAGAGCCAACTAGAACACGATTTCTCTTGATCACAAGTTATATACAGAGTGGAGATTAAATAAGGACCAAAAGAAGTAAAACCTCCATGCGCAAAGGTAGTAAAAACAAGACGCAACGTAATCTTACAAGGCAAATTAAAAGCTTCATTTTTCACTAGTGTGCATATTATATATTATAACAAAAATAATTAAAAAATACGTTCAAACTCTGTAATTTTTAGAAATGATGTCAGTTTACATGAAAATTTTTAAATTAATCAATTGACAGTCGGACGACAAAGAGACGGAAACGTGAAACCAACATTTGCGTATCTTAATAGCCGTGAAATGTGGAGAAAACATGAAATTATATTACAATACTTCTCTTAGCCTACGCGTTTCGCGTACAATGCAAAGTGGGTCGTTTAGAAAACTAAAGTTGTCTTATTTTCGGTCACATTCGAACTGATATAAACTTTATGATGTTTCTATGTAGCTTTTTATCTCTCACTTCCATCTTGCCTAAAATATACTTAAATGATTAAATTACGCCAACGACATTACGATCACGTGCGACGAAACACCCCGTATACTAATCTATTTATTGGAAACATTCCACCATCGACCACTGCTATCGAAAAACTGTTATTCCCACCCCTGCCAAGATTTGATTCTCTCCAAATCCCTTAACCCCGTTTTTTCACTAAAAGTCATTTAATTGCCTCCCACCCCCTAAAAACCCAATTTCCCCCACTACCCTCCATTAAAAAAAAACATTTTCAATCGTATCCTTCTACCCCGTGCCACCATCGCATCGCTGACGTAAACCACCCTCTCCGCCCTCGCGCATCTAAATAATAAACGAGAGCACAATAGCGAATTGCGGCACCCGATGACGTCACGCGTCCGTTTTCCCCCAACTTGGGGATTTTCGTCGGCCGACGTTTTCCCAACTTAAATATTGATTTTTGCCCACCCTTGTAAACCACCTCGCCAGAAAACCGTGGAAAATGCCACGAAAATCGCGATTTTCGTCGTAGCGAGTTGGTCGTGAGTGCGTCGGTTTTCGGGAAATGGACCGCCGGAAAATCCGCACGTAACGTGGTGAAGGGCGCGGAAAATGTGTTCGCAGGCTCGGGAAAACGAGGATGTGTTGACATGGAATCGAGGAGGCTGTGAGTGACCGAATTCGGAAAAATGCAGAAGGAAAACACGAACCCTTCGCCGGAGATTCATCAGTATGTGGGGCCCTATCGGTTGGAGAAGACGCTGGGAAAGGGGCAGACGGGTGAGGAAGGGGTTGTGTTGTTTTTTCGCGGAATTTCGGTCGAAGCTCGAGGGTAATAACCAAATCGGGGGTAGGAAAATCAAGTAAAAACAAAGAAGGCTGGAGATATTATCGGAAATGACAGATTTGTCACATTTAAATGGGCAGATGTCGTTATTGATAGGCTGATGTTTGCTATTGTTTCTTGACTTATTCTTGTCTTCAGTGTTTTCTTTATTTCTTATAATTTTTCTGGTGTTTGTTTTTTTATGCACATTCTTCGATATTGATTTCTTCAGTGCACTATACAGGAATTCCTCGGTTCATTAGTTATTCATTTATTAAGTTACTTGTTCTTTAATTTAACATAACTCTAATTTTAACTGTATGTTGCTTAAAAAAAATTCTACAAAAAAAGCAAAAATAGGATACAAATGTTTGGTCAACCTTCGTCAACGCTAAACAAGAAATATTCCTGACAATTGTTTAGCACGATGTGTTTCTGGTCAATTTTTATGTCATATCTAATTGTATTAGTTATCAGTGAGTTTGACCTATTTACACGTCTTCTAGAGCAAATTTTTGTTGTACATTGTAGATAACCTAAATTGATTTTCGTTTAAGCTTTTAAATGTTAAATTTTGACGCTTATAATTCCAGTGTTTCATTTGAAAGTATTTAGTAGTCTTGTCCGCTTTATTGCTTGTTCGTAATCTCCTTGAAACTATGTAGTTCTTTATCCTCATTTTTCAATATTGATCTTCTTTAATGCAGTATATTCATGGTTTCTTTAGTTATTTCTTTATTCAGTTCTTGTCATTTTATTTCTTTCTAAATTTTCGTACTCATCCATGGTGAATTTAGGATACAGAACTATTCCTTAGATTTTCTTCAAATTTTCGTTTTTATAAATTCTGAGAGTATTGTTTCCAAATTATAATTGTATTTAGTTCAAACTTGGGAGTATTAACCATTTTCTAAAAAGTCGATATTGTCTGCGGCTTTTTTTTTCAATTCTTGGCAGGCTCTGGCAGTAAAAGTTAGAAGTTTTAGGATTTTTATTTAGAGTTTTGTCCTTCATTCAACTCTGCTCTTTCTCCATTTATTCCTGCTTTGCAAATGTTTTTATTGTTTTCCCACTGCCGGAATTTCACACTTGTAGGGTTATTTTAACACGAGCTTATCGTTATTGATGCATCGACGTCTGTTCGGAGTTATTATAACCTGAATGGTTTTCGTTGTTCTCTGTTATTTCATTTATACGCTTGTCGAATTTTAACAGTGGTCTTGTGTTTTGTTGTAGAAATCCGAAAACTAAGTTCTGAAATTTGTCTTTTGGAATTTAACACTTTTAATCCTTCCCTGCCATTGTCCCTCAGACTAACAAATATTCCCTTAACTGACAATTTTCAAGTGTTTAAAGTCTGTTCTTTCGTTCTTTATTTATCTCTTCGCAACTTTTGATCATTGACCTCGTGGGATTTGTTGGTCTGTTACTGGTTTACTTACCTCAAGTTAATCCTATTTCTGTTCAAGTGACAGATCCAATACTATTTCTTGTTCTAGGGTTTCCTCACTTGTGGCTAAATTTTATTTTTTACGTGGTGACAAGTCTGTGACTGCAAAAATATATTTTTCATGTTTTAAAAGCGTTCAAGGAATATCCCGTTATGTTCGCTTCCCTCATAAACATGGCAACGTCTTCGAGGAAACTCTCATCAATATCTTTGTGAAAATACTTTGTCGTCATAATTTACACAGCCTAGATTGTGCGGAAACTATTTGTTTCGAAGCCGCATTTTACAAGATGAATACCAATCCAAGCAAATGGTATTTCCAACATCATTTTTTGCTTGACTGTCTTTCCTAGAAAATTGTTTCACTTTGTGAAATTAATATGGAAATATGCTTTCGATTTAGATGCTATGTTAGAAATTTAGAAATGCAATCCAATTATGATTGTTTTTATTTAAAAAGGTGGCAGTACTGAGTAAACTGAAAAATTTTATAAAAAAAAATTAAAAGTACAATCGATTCATTTTTTCATTCAAATTCAAACTCTGTATTTGGATCAATCTCCTCGGCATTTTTAGTTCCCAAGAGCCAGCTAGAGAAATATTGTAACAGGATCTATGTGGCAAAAGGCTAAATTTATGTTCCTTAACGTTTGATACCTTCTAGAATATGAAAAAGTAGTCCTCCCGTTTTCGTTTATCTGTCGTTTGTCACCTATTAGCGATGTTATTCGACAGATTATATCCGCAATCACTGGACCATTAGACGTTTTAAGAAACTTAATTAATGAGGCAATTTCTTTTATTTTATTAGGAAAACTCACTAGAAGCATACGTACAGTGCCTATTTACCTGTACTTTAACAATCCACATATATTTTTAACTAATGGGGGCTATCATAAAAAATTTTACAATTTTTCTAAGAAACTGGATTTATTTCATTCTGCTTCGGAGACGAGGAAAGTTCGTATTTAAATAAATTAAGGCCAATTTTTTTTAATACAAAGTTTACGAGATCCATTTCTTATCCTAGTAGTGTAAACTTGTCAGAATAGTGCATTGTAAAATTGCAATATTTTATTTTCAAATTTTTTTTAACTATGTTTTCTCCAGTATTATCTACCAGGTGATTATTACTCTTGCTTATTGTAAAAGTTTTCTAGTTATATACTTCCTTAAATTTATACCCATATTTTCCACTTTGATTCTTTTGATTGCACTAAATATGTGTTAATTTTTATTTTTCCGCTGTTGAAACTCGGCCGAATTGCCATTAACATATTTTCTTGATGTGTCATCACCTCTAGAGTACGAAACAAGTAGTCTCCCGTTTCCGTCTGTCTGTCTGTCTGTCTGGTTCTGTATCAATTTTTATTAGACAAGTAATCTCCGAAACTACTGGACCGATTGTTGTCAAATTTTGTATGTGTATTAAAAATACCATGTAAATGGTTAAATGCTAACTAAAATGTTGGCTAATCACCCCATCACCAATGGAATGACGTAATGTCCAAAATTTATAATACAAAGTTTTTGAAATTTTATAAAATAAGATACTCCTGCACCTGTGGTGTGTGAACCCCTGGCGAATTTTCACCTCAGACATCCAGAATTTTTGGAAAAAATTCAAAAGTGAATAACAATATTTTGTAATAAAACTTTGAAACTGCAAAACCCAATGCTCTGAAATCTTGTAAATATTTTACGGATATCGTAATCATGGTAAATCATTAAGCAAAATTTATGCGTTTATCCCGTCCCAAAAAATTGATGACGTCATCTCAAAATTATGCCGAGTAAATCCCATCCAAAATGTGCAAAATATGATGAGCCTATACTTGTGAATTGCATTAAAAGTTTTTAAATTTCTTATACAAGGTGACTCAGAAAAATTAATTAAGGAGTCAATTTATTTTAGTGTTTAAATCAGGAACGAGTCACTCCGTTTTCCCGAAAATTTGGGAGTACAATACTGTTATCATTATTATTACACTACACCTATCCAAAGTAATATATATGCATTTCCAAAAATGTTGATGACGTCATCACAGGGCCAGGGGAGTTCTGTCGAAATAACCTTCGATCAATTTTTTTAGTTTTCTTTTTACTGGTTTCACAGTATGTTTTCAGACCTACATTTTTATGCATAACTATTTTTATCCTTTGCATATACAGGGTGAGTTAGCTAAAAGGGAACACTTCGAATAACATGATACAATTACAAAAAAAAAATATTTTTTTAATTATCTGATTTTTTATTTTCGTATAAATCTAAAAAAAAGTCAAGTTCGATTGATACAGTTTTATTTGCTTTTGTAAAATAATATTTTCTCTAGCACAACAGTAATGAAGCATCTATTTTTGCGACTTATGACATTATTTCATTAATTATGTTTTTTTGAGCAACTCAATCCAACATTTTACCAAAGTTTACATAAAGTTACACTAGCGAACAACGTTAGTCAGAAAATTAATTACATACTTTTTTAACTGCAAAATCTAAAAAATAAAAAAAGGTTAAATCGTATTTCTGGAGTATACTTTCTTCTTCCGTTTAAAGGTGTGAATTTACGTATGCACGCAGGCTATTAGTCTGCATTAAAGTTATTCAAGGTGTCTATTTTTAACTGCCTCACCCGGTATATTTTTTTATAAATTAGTGTTCGATGAAAAATTTAACAGTGATAAATATTTTCTCACTGTACTTAAATTCAAAAACCTAAGTGTCAATATTCGTAGCAATGTAGTCATTTTATCCATGTTTTTCGTGAGTTCAAAATTTCACTTAAATAAAGACTGTCAAAATGTAATGTTGTAATGGCCAAGTACTTAAACAACAAACAAAACTTGGATGAAGATCATTTGAGTCACAATAGGTACGATATTTTTAAGAAGAGGTAGAAGATTTTTTTTAGTACAGATTTGTTGCCCTAGACATTTTAGTACAGGTGCATTAATGCAATTTTTAATGATCAATTACTTCAAGTACCAGTATCCATATTTTTTAAAAATCTTCGTAACTTCACATTTTTTCTCGGAACGTACAAGGGTACTACTACCTACCAAAAACAGGAAAACTTGCCAAAATGAAAAGAAAAACAATCATGACCAAAATATATGCTAATGTGGAAATCAATAACAAGTTTTGTAAGCAATCGTCGTGTTTAATTTTGTAAATAAAAATCTAGTCTAGGGTTGCCTGGATTTAAAGTATGTGATTTACATTATTAGTTAATTTTTTTTCAAAAAAAAAAACACTTAAATTGAACGCTGATTTTTTTTTTTAATTTTTTACATCCTGTGCATAAGCGTTGTAATCCTATTGGCGAACGGCTACTTTTATGTATTCTCCACATTTCATGACTCCTAGAAGATGAAAAATTAGGTCTCCCGTTTGCGTCTGTCTGTCGTCTCTCGTCTGTATCAGTTTTCTTAGGCAGAACTTTAAAGACCGAAAATATTGTCAACTATTTACATTTTAGAGATATCGTGTATATGGTAAAAGCTAACCAAAATTTTTCTGATCATCCCTACCAACAATTTGATGACGTCACCTAAAAATTTGCATAGAAATGCTATTTAAATTTTATAAAATAACTGATAAACTTGATTCTTTTCACGTATAGATGTGCAAATTTTTCAAAAAGCTTTATAGCCCCCACCCATTTTTTTATTTTAAGATTAGCTAGAGCAAAACATTAATTGCGATGGATTTTTAATCCTCGACGGAATTACGGTTCAAAATTTGTGGAGGTTTTGGGGATTAAAAGCTGTTTACCTTGAGTCAATTTTCTAAATCATTTAAATGATCGTCAAATTAATTTAATATCCACAATTCTGAATCAAGAACTAAATCAAAATTTCGTAAATAGCATGGATATACTATTTATATCATTTTTCAAACAACTTCACTTTCTCTACTTTCGTTCTTTTTAAATATTTATTGAAAAACGATCCGTAGATCACCTATTTACATAGATTTTACACTAAACTCACTTGACATACACCTAGTAAAACTTTTGACCTAAACAGCTTAAGCCAAACTGGCTATTTTAAACTTTAAGGACCCGAACCGCAAGGATTATTACTGTCCATTGTTGTTGCCATAATGAAGCTGTAAATTTTTACTAGGTGTATGTCAAGTGAGTTTAATACATAGTCACTAGTCAATACTTATTAGTTAGTAAATTAAAGCGATTGTAGCTTTATTTCTTACTGATCTATTATGCTGCTCCGACTGACATAATTTCTGAAATTGTTAAATAAAATCACCATAAACTATAACTAAATATTATCTTATTATCTACAATTATGATATAGTATTAGCGAATCGATAGCTGACCCATTTCACAAAATTATACCTTGACAGTTCATTATTTTTGAACTAAATGATACAGGTACTACTGGCACAGTTGTGCCCTCCCCCCCAACCCCGAACGGAAATGTAACACAATTCGGTCAAAATTATCCATATACCTGAGTACCTGCTATTTGAGCAAAATTTGCACCCCAGTTCGTATACGACCATAAAATTAACTCAATTTTGCGCAAATTTATGAGTGTTTGTTAACATGTGGAAAATGAATATAAAACAATAACTAAATAAAATATCTAGCGCTATTAAAAACTGAATAAACTTAATTAAAACTCATAACTTTTAATTCATCTTGGGTACTTTCAAAGTTCTTGATAACTGAAAAACTATTTTTATTTTAATAATTGACTTTTATTTCCGTTTTAAATCCGATTTTGTTTCAACCCTTCCAGTAACAATGTTGTCAAAACTAATTTTTAATATAAATTTAATAATAAGATTGTTTATAAAACTTCTTTTTGAGAGACATTAGATGCGTTTTTCACCTGCAGATTTGTGAAATTTGAAACTAACATACCAAAATCTTTGCAAGGCTAATATTAATTTTATTTAAAAAAAATGCATACCTACTGTGGTTACAAAATGTCGTACATTTTTATTGTAAAAAAATGTGTCTTTTGCAGCAACTGTTAATGCGGTCGTGCATTTATGTCCTATTATAACTTCAGTTTACGGCGAAAAATCGCTCTCTGTTGAAGAAGTGGCAATGTAACATGTGAATTTCATTTGTCAAATCCGTACCCAAGTATAAAATGCTGAAATCAAGAGACATAAATCTTGGCATTGACAGGAATTATATAAATCTACTAAAAGTGTGAAAAGTCCCGAGTGTTTAAATTGCTTCAGGTTATTTAATTTATTTGATCCCACGCACGTTTCATTCTTTCGATTTTTACATTATGCGTACGACTACAAAAATAAACTGTGACAGTAGCTAAAATGATGAACAGTTACTACAATAATGATCCAAGTTTGGATTTTATTACCATTTTTTTAGCAACACCAACGTTTTCCTTTTTCAGTTTGACAGTTGCGCTAAAATAACTGTCAAATAAAGTGTCAAACAGCTACAATGTCAACATCATTTTTCAATTTTGAACAGAGGTTACTATCTTCATAAAAATTGTAAAACAGAACTGAAATTTTTATGACCTACATTTATTTTGTAATACTTCACTCAACATATTCGTACAAACATTTATATTCTACATACGGTTAATCAGTTATATTTTTGGAACTTGCGTTAAAGTTTAAGTGCCCCATTTTGATCCACTTTCCCCTATTTCATTTTTTATTCATGTGGATCAGATTTAGATAGTTAAAAATAGTATATCGATTTTATCACATTGTTTTGAAACTGAAGAATTTTAACTTTAATAATAATCGATTGGACTTAATCACATTAGTGTCTTTAAAGCCGTCGTAAATATATCTTTTTATCTAGTAGTAGTAGTTTTTTAAATTAAATTTTTAACATCAGAGGAAAAAACCAAAATTTTCCTCGCCTCTGGAGTATAGTCAAACAAACCCCGCTTCTTCGAAAAATTATAACATTTTTGGATTTATAACAACAAGTACAGGAGTATGTTTTTTCAAAAAAATTCAATATGCACAATTTTGAGGTGCTGTAACCAAAGTGTTGGTGGGAATGATTAGACAGATTTTGGTTAGTGTTTTGCCATCTATACAATATTCTTAACATACGTGTAAAATGTGACACCAATCGGTCCAATAGTTTCTAGTAAAAATCGACACGACAGACAGGCCATGGTAGACGGAAATTAGAGACCTATTTGTTCGTCCCCTAGGAATCATGAAACGTCGAGAAAACATGAAAGTAGCAATTCGTTTGAAGTTCGGAAGTAAAAATAATAAAATACACAACAAAAAAATACTAATTTCGTCTTTCGACACACTTTGACAAGCTTTTTTTGCCTAGGTTTGGTGAAACTGGGCGTACAATGTGTAACCGGAAAAAAAGTCGCCATAAAAATAATCAACAGGGAAAAACTGAGTGAAAGCGTCCTTATGAAAGTAAGAATCCAGGTCCTCGATCAACCAGCAATACAAAAACACCCTTTTTAGGTGGAGCGTGAAATAGCCATAATGAAACTAATCGACCACCCTCATGTCTTAGGGTTGACTGATGTTTACGAAAACAAAAAATATTTGTACCTAGTTTTAGAGCACGTTTCTGGTGGTGAACTTTTCGATTATTTAGTGAAAAAAGGTAGATTAACCCCGAAAGAAGCGAGGAGGTTTTTTAGACAGATCATTTCCGCCCTTGACTTTTGCCACAGCCATTCGATTTGGTGAGTAATTTATTTCATTAGACACTTGATTAAATTAATCGAATTCTAGCCATAGGGACCTGAAGCCCGAAAATCTACTCTTAGACGAAAAGAACAATATAAAAATTGCCGATTTTGGAATGGCGTCTTTACAGCCGATGGGTTCGATGCTGGAAACGAGCTGTGGTTCCCCTCATTACGCTTGTCCAGAAGTTATCAGAGTAAGGAGTTTTATTATTTAGGCTTTCATTTATTCCGTAATTAAATTTTAGGGGGAGAAATACGATGGAAGGAAGGCTGACGTCTGGTCGTGTGGGGTCATTTTATATGCGCTTCTAGTAGGTGCTTTACCTTTTGACGACGATAATTTAAGACAACTTTTAGAAAAAGTTAAAAGAGGGGTGTTCCATATACCGCATTTTGTACCTCCCGACTGTCAAAGTTTACTACGAGGGATGATCGAAGTCAACCCTGAGAAGAGACTAACAGTAAGTAGAAAAATACAGATAATATTCAAAGTTAAAAAAAAAATTCAAAAAACATTTTTCATGAACAGATGTATTATGACGATGACAGTTTGTTCTCTGTACAAAATTCAAATCAGGGTTTAAAGTGCGCGTTTATCTCTTTTGCGATCTGTGCTCCGCTGACAGCTAGCTGTAAATGAATTTAATTTAATAGAAATCGATTTTGTATTTCTTCCGCACCTCTGTTTATTTCGTAAGCGGCATAAGTATTAAATTATAACAGAATATTGTTAAATGTATTTCACTATCGTCACTGATCATCGAAAATTTCGAAATATACAGGCTGTTTCACTTACGATTGATCTCCTTGTACCATTTTTATTTATGAAGATAAATTGTTGCAATTAGAAATATTCTACTATTGCCAAATACGTATATCAGTAAAAATCTTTTGCTTATTTTGAATAATATTTTAAAATATCAGAAAATTTTAATTTGAAGTAAACTTACTGGTACTGAGTGTGAAGAATCCTACTTAAAATCCTAAACAGATTCTGAAAAAGATCTGTTAACAAATTTTATACAAGATGAATATGAAAGGTTATACATCAAGTTGGCTGCGAACTTCGTGAATTTTGCCGCCTCGTTGTGATTCGTGACTACATGTCGCGTGTCACAAATCTCACTCATGTCGTAACCTAGCCTTCTTAAACTTTTTCGGTACGTTGCCGCAGCTAAGTAACAATCAACTCGGATTTGTTACCTATCTCAAGGAAGCGGCAAATTCCTATTAAAAATGTAATGAGATATGTTTCAAAACCTACTTGATGTACGATATTTGAAAATTAACAATCAGTTCTCACGAATGTGTTTTTTCCTTTTCCTATTTTAATGTGCCGGTCTGTCGGTAATATGTAGATGCGAATGTAAACTCGCAACTTTTGTAAAGTTAAAATCCCTGCACAGCTTTTTGTACAGCATGAGGATTAGAAGTGCTCAAACGAACCCTCAACTGTTCGCATTGTTTACTAACCCAACCAAATATAGAAAGTTAATCTAATGTAATATTAATATCCATTTCTCCATTTCAAACTCAATTTCGTCTCTCACGCAATGATGGGAGTTTCACAATCGTTTTCTAAAAAATTAAAAAAAATATTCTTTAAGAATTCTCATTTTAGTTATTCATTATTATTTTGCCGTAATTTCCAGGTTAATATTTTTTTTATATTCACTCTTGTATTCTTTCCTATAGAATTTCGATGTTTTATGATCACACCTGTACATAAGTGCACATCTTAAGTTTGAGTACTTCTGTCTTTAAATTGTGACTTTAATTTTTAATGACTTTAATGTTTGCTTTTGCCACAATGTTAAGCTAATTTTGTATCTAACAAAACAAATAAACATTTTTTTGCTGATGTTTCACTAGCGCCAATTACATCAATTAAATTAGAGCCAACTCTGATTCCAAATGTTTTTGAAAGCACAATATCTAAGCTAACTTATATAACATATTAAAATATTCTAATTAATGTAAAACAATCTAAAATCAAATATTGTTGAAACAAGTAGTGATTCTCTAACATCCAAAAGTACCTAGGTAAAAATTTTCTCTAAAACCCACAATCAATAAACTAACTTTTCGAACGACTTTTAGCTAGCCGAAATCAACAAACACCCCTGGGTGACTGCCGGTGGTAAGGGCGAACTCGAACTCGAACTCCCCATGATGGAGGTAGTCCAAACCCACGTCCTGCCCTCCATCGAGGCCGTAGATCCAGACGTCCTACAAGCCATCTGCAGCCTCGGATGTTTCAAGGAAAAAGAAAAACTAATCCAACATCTCCTTAGCCCCAAGTAATTTGTTTTTTCAAATTTTGAAATTTTACAATAAAATTAGTAAACGTCAAATTTTCTATATTTCACGTAATTTTCTTCGCAGCCACAACACCGAAAAAGTCATCTACTTTCTCCTCCTCGAGCGCAAGCGCCGTCGTCCCGCATACGAAGACGACACCGACTCGATCCTGAGGATGCGAATGTCCGAAACGTCGGATCCACCGAAAAAACGTATTGACACGTGTCGAGTGAACGGTCAAAGCGGGCTACAATTTGGACAAATAAGTGAGGGCTCGCCTCTCACACCCAGACGGTCACATTATAAGAGGCACCATCCGCGGCGAAGTCCATCTACCGGTAGTACGCATAGTAGCCTGGGAATACACTCGCCTACTAGATCATCGGGTGCTTCCAGTCCTATTATGTTCAACAGCACCACGACGCCTACCAACACCCACTGTGAGGAAATATGTTATAAATACATTCATATTTCATACCAAACAACAGAATTGTTTCAAATATGATCCATAAAATTTTATGGAACAAGTCAGAATCTGTGCACAATAGTATTCTACTCCCGGTTTGTAACGGCCGTACTTCCGGTTCCATCCATAATCCCTCGTTATAGTGTCATAAAAGTTTATGATAAGTGTAACGAGGTATTTATGTCAATTTGATTTATGGAGTATAAACACGAAAGCTAATGTTAATAGTCAGCGGAAAAAAAAACTAAAATAGGAAAAAATGAAAAAATATGAAAAACTATGTCTTGAAGGTACTTTCAGTACAATTCACCAATGCTTGTCTACCTATAAATGATGCAAGGTTTCTATAAACGATTATAGGGTGGAAGTAGGTCACGGAAGCGTGCCGCCTATCATTTTATGCGGATTTTACTATGAAAATGTTCTGTAAAATCCTTTGGCCGATGAATTGGACCCACAGTTCGATTTCATGTTGCAATAGAAACTCCTGACTCCTAAGACAATCTTGTGGAAGTCTTTCAGGAAATTTCCCTTTGTTGACACTGCCAGTTCGAACAATGATTATATCTCTAATGTGAGCCTCTAACGATGTTTCTTGAATTTGCAAAGCAGGATATACAAAAGACAGATGAGAACTGTTATAATGAGGCATACTTTCAGTGAAGCGGAATTTTTGAAGTACGCCCCTAGAATCAATTATAAGATCCTTGTACAAACATAGCGTCGAGAATATACAAGCGCATCCGAGACATTCATGCATGTTTGTGTTTACTTCGACCCTCTTGCATAGTAAAACTATTATACATTATATATACAACAATTTAAGGTATAATATTTCCTTACATTTGTGTTGTCACATTTCGCTTCAAAAGCTTTCTTAACTAGAACACGCTAATTACCCTTTGACTTTGGCAGCCGGAATGTCGTCTCCGGTTCAACGCGCCGCCTCCCACCACGCCCATCGCACTTCGGCGCACGTATCGTCCAACACTCACGTGACCGTCACGCCCGCCTCGGCCACGCCCACGCACCATCGGGCCAATAGCAGCGGCGGGACTTCCACTTCCTCGGTGCTGTCGACGCTGACGTCACCCGAAAGTGACACGACGAGTCTAGTTTCAGGTTATTGTTATCTTATCGAGATGCTGTTATTGACTGCGGAGTTGCAGGTCCTACGATTCTCGCCCCTATGACGCCTCCCGGCTCACCCCATTCCGGAGCGACGAGTCACCACTGGCGGTCGCGACTCACTACGATTAAGAATAGCTTCTTAGGTTCGCCACGTTTCCATCGAAGAAAGTTGCAAAGTAAGTTGGACGTGGTTTTTGACGTTTAATCCCATCGATGCTTGCAGCCTCATCTGAAGAAGTCCATTTGACGCCCGAGTCATCTCCGGAACTCACGAAGAAGTCCTGGTTCGGGAGCTTGATGACGACGGAGAAGGACGAAACGTTTACGATTCTAGTGAAGGGGAAGCCGCTGGCGACCGTCAAAGCGGACCTAATTCATGCGTTTTTGTCGGTAAGAACGAGGTTTTAATTGCTTATGTTTTGCCGTTAAGTGGAATTCTCATGTGATAGTGAAAGTATACGCGTATACTTGTAGAATCGTTTATTTACGAATTAGCACGAGAAACACTTCAGAGTTTTTACAGAGAAAGACATCGAACGTAGCACAAGTGTTGTCATCATCGCATTTCTACATTAGGTTTTCTAACCCAGCCTAAGCGTACAATGCGTCCTGAACAGTTGTGGACTAGGATTGAGGCAAGAGATTCATGCTGAGATCTTTGTATACTAAAGCAAATTGACTTTAGTCCTTGTTGCCATAAACCATTATGTTTATTGTACTTGTTGGTATTAAACGAAAGTCGAATTTTAAAGAATCCAAGACGTTCGTGAAAGTCTCGAAATTATTTACAATTATTGACAAATTTATACAAGTAAAGAAAACAGAAATCATCATTAAAATAATATTTCTTTGCCTAAAAAGAAACCTGTAGCATATTATACGTTCCATCCGATCTTCATAAAACATCTAGTTATTACTAAGCTGCGCATTTCACGCGGACGTGGGTCTCCCCATGAAGTTCATAATTTTACATATGTTAGAGCAAATGACATGAGAAAAAAAAATCGTCAGCTTTAATTAGAGACCCTGTGTTCTTTCCCTACGCGATCCTTGGATTAAAAATTTAAAAATCTGTCTTGTTCGGATTTATAACGTCAAATGGGTGAGAAATAGAGTTACAAGCAATGAAGCATACAATATTTAATTACGCCACGCTCTCTCAGGAATTTTAAACAATAAAGAATTTACAGGACGTTAAATTATGCATAATTTCCAATTAATGGTTATATCAAAATGAGTGCACATATTACATCGTGGGCTCAACAAATCCACATAACACATAAAACAAAGCACGTATGAAATAAACAGACATTCATTAATATAATAGGAGTACAAAATAAAGCTAAAATACACCTCCTATCTCGAGTCCAAAACAATATTAATTAAACAGATGATAATTTCCAAGGCTCCTTCGCTCATAATGGATCAACGTGGAAATTCGTTTGAATGCTATTGTCTAATGAACTATTATTAAATCTCGAGTGAGAAGTTATGAAATGTGGATCATGCAGTAACTTAACTAAAAACCTCCAGTACTTTAGACGTATCATTACTAAAATGAGTTCAGCTGGAATAAGAGAATTTCCGCCACTTATCTTTTATGAGCATGACTGAAGTTAAATTGCGTTAAAACCATGAACAGTTAAAAACCTGTGAACTTACAAACAATAAACACGTGTTGATGGAAGAGTCAAAGGTTTACACATTTCAGATTAGAAAATAATTAATAAACTGATATTACACTAATTACACTCGTTGAGGCGGACTGTGAAGTCGAATGTATGGTGAAATTACAAAACAATTCTAAAAATAAATTTACTTTAGTAACAAAATAAAGACTTATTACTTATTATTCAACAGACTTCACTAACAATAATTAAAAAAACGTACAATGTATAAATATAATTTGTTGATACTGAAATGTGCCTTTTTGTATATTATTGGCTGTCGCTATTTTGGGAATAGTATCCCAAACTATCTTCGTTAACCTTAGGGTTGTAGCATATGGATGTTGCTTTGCTAACTTTAGGTAGCTCAAGTTTAAGAGGCTCGCGTTTACGATAGTAAAATAGAGTCCGGCAAATAGTGAACATTGATTTTTGGATTTTCATAATGATAATTTACAGTCGTGATCTTCTCTCCGATTGCTTGCCTGAAGGGAAGAAAGCTCCTATGAATCAGACGTGCATAAACACATCTGCGTCGGATATACAAAACCCTTGATCCTTTCGGTCAAGCAACCCAAAAGCAGACAAGAGTCGTAAATGTGACTAGTATAATCCTGAGCAGTTTTGTCGGGGCTTTCAATAAGCACTTTTGGAAACAGGTGTCAGTGTTCACTATTTAGTAGACTCTACTATAATTTGGAGTTTCAACCAATAAATAATTTCAGACTCAATTGACTTTTCTAGATTGATTGGTATAATGCATTGTCCAGTACTTTTAAAAAGAGTTCTTCAAGTCTTTGTAAGACATACGTCTTGAACCATTATGCCATGACAGTTTGATGAAACTATTTCCAGCGTCTTCCACATAAATACCTTAATCTGGAAAATCGGTCGTTCGTGAATAATAAGTACGTAGTGTTAAATACTGTCATTTTACAACTGACATTTCGTCGAAATTGATGCAGAGTATGTATATTCAAATGACTAAAAATGACTGATGATTTTGAAATATGGTGCACAGTGCTTCACAGTTGTATAGATAGAGAACATTTTCTATACAACAGATGCCCTGACGAGCTCCTGTTTTGTATTTGTTCGTTTTTGACTTTAACCTAACAACCTTTAACAATTGACGTTTACGCTAAAATCTATCGGATAAAACTGATGACCTGAATTAGAGAATTATTAATTTAGAAAATCACAAAGATCTTACGTGCAACAGTTATGACTACAAATTCTTTTCCTGGGCATTTTCATTATTGAAAGCGGAAGCAGATTACTACGCCCTCTCTGAATGCCATACCTAATAGAATTTTTTTTGGCAAGATGCTGTAAAATTGTACCAATTGAGACATCTGGTGTATCAACGAGTACACACACAAACAGAAACATAAGGTTTATTCACCATTTATTACGGGTAGATTTTAGAACAGGTCAGGTCAGGTCAAGTCAATGCACTGGATATAATAAACAAAACTAAAGCATAATTCATTAATCAATACATAAAAAGATCTGTTCAGCAAACTTTACAAGAATAACATATATTGCGTCATTTGCTTATCGGCGGAGTGACCGTCGCGCCCAGACATATAAACAATTAGTCCAAATAAAAACAAGCAACAGTGGTAAAACATGGGTTAAGATAACATTTTAAAGGAAACTTGAATATCGTTGACCAAAACAAAGATGGATGTTTTAGCCTAAGTACCACAGAGTTTAGCTTTGTTTAGATAATGCCAACGTGGTTTGTGAAACGCGTCGACAAATATTTTGTGTTTTCGGTGTTGTGGGAATAAACATTCTATTAAACATAAAATGTTGGAAAAATTATAAAATTTAATTTTGCGAATTTTATTTTACTTCCTAAGCCTAAGCAACAAGAAAGTATCGTAGTCTATCGGGGGACGACTGGCTATTTTTATGTTTTCTCGACATTTCATGGCCCATAGAGAATGAAAAATTAGGTGTCCTGGTTCAATCTGCTAATCGTCTGCCCACATTTTTAATAGGCAGATAATCTCCAAAACTACCGGACCGATTGTTGACAAATTTTAAATGTATATGTTAGGAACATCGAGTAGATGGTAAAACGCTAATCAAAATTTGCCCAACCTCCCTATCAATGTCATGACATCTTAAAATTTTTCATAGTAGGTAAGATTTAAATTTTATAAAATAGCATACCTACTCCTGCATTTGTTTTATCGTTCAAATCTCTAAAACGGTACACGTTAATGTTATTTTTAGTATTACACTGCATGTGTCGAAATTGATATACGATACGTGTCCTTGCTGAAATAATATTGACCGTAACATTTTTAAACATGAAACTCGCCAGTACATACAAGCATAATCTTGCCCTTTATCAATGCATTGATATTTTTGAAGCATGTCATGGGTTGACGTCTTGACGACCAGATCACTCCAGAGTTTCCGACCGAATACAAACAAGTGTGTTTTCGTAACATAATAATGTGTTGGACAGTTGCGGGCTATGGGTGATTAAAGTATGATACATTAATGAATTCAAAAAAGCAAGCTCTCTAAAAAAATGTATAGTGTGTCATTAAAAAATAAATGATATATGTATGATAGAGAAACAAAAAAAATTATAGGGTATCAAAACGAATTTAAATGATGTCATTTACCTTCTTAGGCGGTTGCTGGTATTACTTATCTATATTTATTTTAATGAATAGAGGTTATCACGGATACAAATTCGCAAAATCAAATTTTTTAATTTTTCAAAGAAGCGGCATTTCTTGCACGCACTTGGGGGCGAGGGAAGTCCTGTCGAAATAACTTTCTACCAATTTTTTTTGTGTATAATTTAGTATCTAAATCCCTAAATTTATTTAATTTTTTTTGGTTGTCTGTGACCGTCCCAATTTTTGGAGGAATTTAATAATATACAATAATATTGAATTTATACATTTACGAATACTTCCCGAGCATAATTTAAGAAAGTGTTGTAATAGTTTCTATACGACAAATGTTTAATGTGGAATTCGGTTTACGACTATGGTGTGAACAGAAAGATATTAATACATTTTTTGCTGTTTTTCTCTCTCAAAATTTGACGTTATTTACAATTTTGCGAAGTAAATTGAATTCAAAATGTATAAAATAAAACGCTTTCAACATGTCATCGATTATTTTCTTGCTTTTAATTATACTGTTACGTTGAACGAATGGTTAAAATCGGCGTGGGTTAAACTAAACAATTTATTTCTTGCTAACTCGAATTTACACAGCGATTGTGTACAAACTAATTCCGGCGCGACTTGTTTGGCTATTTTTAACATTCGCTGGACTTGGGTTGACTGAATAATCCTCGTTCCCGACGGTTGCCTCTATTTAAACCTATACGTTTCTCTCGGTGGATCGAGAACGCCGCTTCGAGGGTTTTCTAGACCCTCCGCGACATTCGCTTCCACTCTTTCCTTTAGCGAACGTCGCGCCGCCCGGCCGATGAGTCATACTACATACTAGAAGAAACACATATACTAGAAGACCCATAGGCGTCGTACCGGGGAAGCGTATGGAATTATTTCGTAACAATACGTAGGTATATCGGCTTCGGTTGATTACAGTTATTATTAAATAGTACAAAAAGGGGCGATTATACAGCATTATTTTTTTTTTACAAAAAATTAAAAATAATTTGTGTTAAACGGATTAATTTTTTTTTATACATAGGGAAGGACAAGTTTAAGTTCTTGG